TGTAGTAAATGGTGACTGATGCACGTTAAATCTGTCGAGTCTCAAAGTCCTCCATGTTCCCACAACAAATCAATACCTCTGGGGGTACTGATCCAGGAGTTTCCTTGTCTTCTGGATTGGGTTCAAAATTATAAGGATACGGAGTTGAACATTAGTAGTCGTAAACCCATGAAATTGGGTCGGCTGTTCAACGACGGTTATAAAATAAAATAAAATGTGTGAATAAAATCTTTAGAAAAAACGTACAAGTTGGCGTTTATTTCTTTATTATACTCTATTAGAGATGATGTAACAGTTATTTTTTACTGTTACATAATCGTCCTGTTTTTTCTGTATTATAACATTTCCAGAAGTCTATTTACAGGGCGAAAGTTAGATTCGAGGGAGTATCGTATATATATTGAAATTAAAATATTTTCGTAGCAAGATTTTTGGCATACAAAGTATGAAAACAGACGCGCAAATGGAGATAAAAGCGCAGAGGACTTCTGTTTTCTGATTCTGGCAATTTTATTATGAAAATATTTTAAATCATTCTTGAAAGTTCCAAGTACATGTAAGTTCATTTGAATTCGCTACTCGCTTTATAGATTTTATTTTGTGTTTTGTTCTGTTTTTTCTTTACATATTATTTTCTGTTTTTTACGTGATATATTATTTACTTAATGTGTTCTGTTTTGTTTCAATTTTTTTAGTGCTCCCAACACTATTGTATTGATATATTTTGCTTTCGCTATATTGATACAATATAATATTAGAAAGCACTCCTTTTTGCGAATATAATCGTGTGAGCTGATGAATAGATTATATCTTCTTTTTTTTCGACTTTTTAAGTTTAAAAAAAATTATAGTATTTTATTTTATTTACTTTTCTTCCTTTCCTTTCATTAATCTGTAATATTTTCTATGTTTTCTCCATATTTTTTAACTTATTTTATGAGTTTTATATACCTGCAGCTTATGCGCAGTAAATAAAACTTATTAATTTTCTTAATTTAATTCTTTTTTCTTTTTATCTTTTTTGTTGTGCTATTTATATATTTACTTCTGTGATCTTTTTCCAGAACGTATACCTGCTCGCTATGTGTTGACTCTGCTTACATTCCTTGGCCTGGGTATCCAGTATACCCAGAGGGTGAATCTCAATGTCACCATCGTGGCTATGGTAGACTCTTCTGTTAATCAGGTGCAAGAAGACAACTACACATCAGAATGCCCCAACCTATTTCTAGATGACAACGACAACGATACTTTAACCACTTTCAAGGAGGTAATTCCTTTTCTTTTGTGTCTTTTGAATTTAAAAATAATCATGGAGGACTCGGTCTAAACTAGTAGAACTGCTGATGATTTAATTGAAACTGTGATTTAGAGCAAACAGAATAGTCAATTTAAAAAAACATATTCATTTATTAATAAACTTTTAGAATACACCCCAAAAAATTTTTTCATTCTTCAAAACAAAACGCCAGTCTCGTTTTATTCTAAAGAAATAAAAAACGCTTTTCTTGTTTTTTGATATTGACGATGCAAATTATTTTGTTTTCTTCATTATTTATCTTGCTTTAGCGACGTTTTTCACATTTTGGCTTAATTCTTTTCGTTTTGTCCGAATCAACAACTGTATTTATAATTTTTTTCATTCAATACATTTGCAGAGTATTGGTAAAAAAAAATCTCTAATTAATATACAGGGTTATTCATAATTCCCTCAGGGGTTTTGAAACGTTGTAGTAAAAAAACGAAGACGAATATGGCAAAAAAGAACATATGAAACTATTCCGAAAGTATTCAAGTCTTAATTTAAGCAGTTGCCGATAGATGGCAGTAACGTGTAACACTGAATCCAGTTGTAGTAAAGAAAAATGGCGTTTACAGGCGGAGGGAATTATGAATAACCCTGTATTTAAAAATATCTATCTTGGCCAAAGATCAAAGGATTATTGTGAGTGATAAATGTGACTATTAAAAGTGGGGAAAAAAATTGTGATTCATAATTATGAAGAAAAAAAAAACCTATTTATGTTATAAATTTTATTTAAAGTATTAAGTAGGACGCCTCATGGATTGGGCTATCTAACTTGCAGTTTTCACTGTGCATGAAATCCGCTTTCCTATTATTTTTACCACCACTTCTTAACCGTTAAGTAATTTCCCTGTTTTCTACATGAGCATAAAATATTGCCAAAATGACAGTTAATTATAATGTTTAATTTTTTTTTTTTTTTTNAATTTTTTATTTTTTTTTTTTTTTTTTTTTTTGATTTATTTATGTTATATTCGTGTGAAGATTATATTCATGGATTCAACAACTATTCAACAAAATATTTGCTTAGAAACAAAAAAAAATGTGCATGTAATATAGTACATATTTTATTTTTGTTCTGTTTTATTTGTTACTGTTTCCAAATCAAAGCTTAAAACCAATCTTACATTTTAACTATAATAGGGAAGGGAAAGGAAGGGAAGGGAAGATAGAATGTCTCGTCAAAAATAGGACAATGTGTAGTCTAAAAGCGGTGATGCACTCGAATTTTATGCATTAATTCTATACATACATATGTATAATATATGTATAATTATGTATAATATATGTATAATTATGTATAATATATGTATAAGTATGTGTAATATATGTATAATTATGTATAATATGTGTATAATTAAAAATCGATTTGACGATTTGAAACATTTTTGACCCCCCGAGCTTTGTCTTCGAATGTAGGCTCGATTTTACCACTCAAATCAGCTTGATGTGAAGTCAATTCATTCCTATAACTACTCATTGCGTCCTTTTTCATGTGGCTTGCCAATTTGTAAAGAACATGTAGCGCCATCTATCAAAAGACGATTGAACTACATATTTTCACAATATTGCTGCCAATAAATAATTATGTATAAAAAACTGTCTTTAAATGAATCATAGCTAAAAAAAAAGTGAATCGAAATATTCTTCTTATTAAGAATGGCAATAATAAGTCAAACGATAGCTTTAACGCTTAAATCATTATCAATAATATTTTGTGTTTCATTTCATTCGTTNTATTTTTAGATATCCTGTTAAAAAAAAATATCAACAAGGGTAAAGTTTTATAAAAACAGGATATAAATAATCAATTTAAAAATATTTTTCCTTCTTAAGATTTTTATTATTAAGACTTATTTAACTTGAGAAATTGTTTCTTGTGTGAATTTTAGGGCCAATACCAATGGAGTCCATCTACTCAAGGTGTTATACTTGGTGCCTTCTACTACGGTTACGTTTTCACTCCTCTACTGGGAGGAAGATTATCCGAGCTCCTGGGAGCAAAATGGCTCCTGGGAGGAGGCATCTTCTTCACTTCACTTCTTACCCTTATTACACCTATGGCAGCTGACTGGGGTGTCGCTGTTATGGTGGCCCTCAGGGTCATCATAGGCGCTGCTCAGGTCAGTTCCCTTCTTCCTGCTTATCTGTATAGGAAACTGGTTATAAAAAATAAAAATAACAAAATTAATGTTTTGTGTTTATATATATATACACAGTTAACTTCAGGAGTTCAATTGATATTTTATAGGGTGTGAATTCAGCCTCTATGTATGCAATGTTCTCGAGATGGGCCCCCACTCAAGAAAGGAGTCGATTGCTCTCTATATGCACAATTGGTCAGCACGTGGGCACCATAGTCACCATGCCCACCAGTGGTTTCCTCATACAGTATGGCGTGGGTGGTGGATGGCCATCCGTCTTTTATTTATTTGGTATGTTCATTTCACTTGCTCATTTATTTATTACCTCTTGGCCCGGTAGCAGAATTTGCAGAGTGAATCTGCAGCGCTGGGTTCATAAATCGAAATATGTATAGGATCTGAACGTAGCCAAACAATCATTATTATTGTGAAAAATATTTTAATCAAACACACATGCAACAATATTTTCAAATAGTTGGTTCTTACAATTATACATAACATTTTTATGTTATTTAAATTTAAATGGAATTTTGTACAATGATACAAAAAAAAATGGAACAAATATTTTTATAGTTGCGCCTGCAATCAAATGTAAAGAATATATTATGTATGCAAGTTATATTTATACCTGCCTATAAGTATCAGAAAAGAAAATTCTGTACTTTTTGTTCCTTGCGGTGTTCTTTAAATTTAGTATTTGTATTTTCGTTAGAAATTAGTTTAGAGATGTTTTAAAAAGGAGTCTCAGCTATTCACCCCTCCATTTGTTTGTTTTCTTTTCAAAAAATGAAAAGAAAAGTTTGAAAGAAAATAATCTGCAAATATTGTTTTATTTGCAGCACCCTCTGGCGTGCTGGAAAGTTAGTACTCTGTTGGTAACCAATTTTTTATTCTTCCTGCGTTTAAGTTTTACTCAGTGTAGAATCCAATTTGTCCTCAAAATTTCTTATTTTACATAAAAATACATCTTGATAATTAAATTAAATTTCATAAATCATAATTAAATTTACTAAAAACTTTTAGCTAGTTTATAAAAAAAATTCAGCGAGTTCATTAAAAAAACTAAAACTAAAATTTTTTTTAAAAATAATACGATAATATTTTTAGTAAAAAACTAAACATCCATCAAGTTTTTACTTCCAGAAATTGTCAATCTAGTTTATGAAAAGACACCTTTACATGAATTAAAAATATAGATCCGAAAATCAGAAAGATAAATTGAAATTTTTATTATTCATTAATCTGTTGATTGACCGCCAGACATTTCTTTAGATATAATTTATACTGAAAAAAGTTAGTTCGATAAACTGGAGTCCAATTAAAGATTATAACACTTTCTTTTATTAGTTTTTAATTTTCTTTTATTTCTATATCTATATTTACTTGTTTTTTACTAACATCTGATACTTTAATAATTAATTTTGCTCCCTGTTCTATATTTTTAAATGTTTATATAGTTTTGAAATTCTCTTGTGATATTTTGTAATTTAATAAGATAAATAGTGTAAGTACATACAAACTATTAATGACATTTAAATGTTTTAAAGGAAAACAAATTACTAGGTTTTTAAAGAGTTAATCATTTTCCTTACATTTTTTTTTTATTTATTTATATATTTTCGTTGCCTCTCGCAACACACGAAAATATCACTAGGCACTTTTCTTTTAAAATATTGTCACTAGATGACAGAACCAAATTCTATTTTCTCTTGAATTTTTTTATTAGCAATGTAAAGTTAAAATTTTCTATCTATAAACGTTGTTAATTTCAATATTTAATTTTCAGCCGAAATAATGTTTGTTTAAAAGTCATAATAAAGTTTGTATAAGTAATTATAATTGTATTTATCGTCATTTTAAATCATGTGAGAATAATACATTAAAAATTAATAATATATTGTAGTGCTGCCATCTAGTGCTAAATAAAAAAAAGTAACGTAAATTAATGCATATAGTAAGATGCAATAGTAAATTTTAATGAGACATTTAATTGACAAAACAATGGGCAAAATTTAGTTCCATCTTGAAATGAATCCACGATGAAATTTTTGTATGTGCCTCTTATCCAGTAATTTATATGTTTAGCAAAATACTGTTTTGATCATTTTACACATCTGAGTATAGATTCTGAGGGAAAAAGCCTCTTCAACATATTAAGTCCGTAGGAGCCTCTTAACTTTTCCAGGGTCTTTTTTTCATAGTTAATTAGGTTTTTTTTTCTGTCTTTCAAATGTTTCAGTCTTAAAATTTAAAAAAAAATTTCGATTATAAGATTTAATAAGAATAAATAAGATTTTTCTACTTTTAATTTATGGATGATTCTACAAATACACATAATTTGTGTCTGATGTATTTCTTTTAATTTTGTCTCAAAATAGAATTATGCACCATTTATTTTTATTCTAATAATTAAGAAAAATAATTTTGAAATTAATTAAGAAAAAATAATTAAGAAAACTATTATTGAAAATTTATTATCATTTTAAAAATAAAAACATGCTATTTAATGAGAATGTCATTAATTATTATTATAATTTAGTTTTACACATTGGTGGCATCAGATAAAATTTATTGGAGCTGGATAACATAGGAGCCTTATCTTATACTGCCCTTTAAATAAATTTTGTGAAGCAGAACTGAGCATCATTGCTCACTCAATAATTTTAGAAAACCTCTTGAATGAATGATCATTGAAACAAATTATTTCTCAGCAGATTTTCTCGCAGCAAGCAGATTTTTTTCTCATCCTACCATAACAAAATTTTCTTCGTGTTTTTCTTAAAATGCATAATTATTTCATTATTAATTGAAAACAAAGTTGCTTCATTTTCATGATGATTGAAATTATCAAAACCTTATTAGTTTTAAAAGTGTATAAAACTAGAATAAATACACATGAGTTAAATCTAAAAACGTGAACTATTTTAAATTTACGAAATTGCCAGTTTGGTGTAAGATCCAATTCTATTATAAAAGAAATTCCACATCTGCTTTATCATAAATTGTTTTAATACAAGCATTTGTTTTCATCCTAAGGAACTTGAAGTGTTCTTACTATAGGTGAAATATTTTATTTAGATTTAAAAAATAAGAATGGGATGCTTGCAAATGACGTAGTGTGGGTATCTTGATCCTGATTGGTTGTTGAAACGTTGCATTTGTTTACGTTTGCAACTGTTCTTTCCATTCTACTTCGAGTAAGCCAAGTTCGTCAAGCAACAATTCTTTTAAGGAGCATATTCTAAATTCTTTCTCCAAGATTTCAGTTCTTTTACTATATATTTAAACAGAGACTTAACACAAAGACAGGCACAAAGTCATGGGGAACATAAACGAACTAATTATGCATTGAAGTTGCCAGCTATACAAAACAAAAATGTATCACGGCTACAATAAAATGTGAGAATATCACTCAACTCTACCGAA